CATGGTGTCCTTGCCATCCAGGGCTTGAATGATCTCCTCCCTGCACATCTTCTGGTGTTCTGGGTGGCAGGCCAGACAGTAGAGGATGAAAGACATGCCACTGGCTGTGGTGTCATGGCCCTCAAACATGAAGGTGTCCACTTCTGCTCGTATGTCTTCATCTGATAAACCCTGCTGGTTCTCATCCTGAAGATGAGAGAAAAAGACAAATACAAAAGAATACAGTAGGCACAGTCACTCTCTACTCCATTTGTAAAGCTACACTTACATGTACACAACAAGTACTTTATTGTACTTTATTGTACAACAAAACCACAATAAAGGAGCATAATAAAAGAAGGTAAGAGATATTGCAACAAAAAAACTAGTATGAAGTCAGAATGTATCCTAGTATTTTCCTGCGATTTAAATGACACATTATTCAGTCAGTAACATGTGCCTACATAGGTGGGTTCACAACACCCTTACACTCTGCCTTTTACATTCACAAGGACACATGGATGGATTCAGGGTGGGTGAAATAATACATGATTCTTAAGGAAAATATTATTAAATTCACTTACTTATAAACATAACAGAGGGCAGAGCTGCAGAGCCGCAGTCTGACTCCCCATTAAGTGAGGTGCTGTGCAGATTTACGAGGAGCAGGATGACTTCATTGATTATTTCAGAATCTTAAAGTTTAGTTTTGAGTTTTGCTGCTTAAATGTCCCATGACATTTGCTGCAGTAACATTACTGCTCTGACTGCATTGCTCTCAGCAGAAAACCACTCATTTCTCCAGTTGGCCGAATCCACCTTGTAAACAGCAGTGCGGCAGGTGCAGGAACACCTGCTTTTGAAGGGAATCGGAGATGACACTCTGACTGGTTGAATTCACAACACACCTATGATCAATTAAGGGACTAAATACAACCCCTTGGCCAGTTGCACCTTACTTTGTGCCCAGATTATGTGGCTTGGAGTGGAGTTGGACACATTTTCAGGGTGCTTTCAGACCTAGAGTTTGCTTGCTTTGGTCTGAATCAGGGACTAATTTTGTTAAAAAGTTGCATAATTGTCTAGAGTTGGTTCATATTCTCACGGCAGCGGACCGGATAAAATGCCTGTGCGAGAAAGTTGCTCTTAATGTGCAATTGCTGTGCTCACACCTGCCCAAATGAACTGCACTTTGGGGCAAACGAACTTGAGTTCAATTGAAACGAACTAAACAGGGCAGGTGTGAAAGCACCCTGAATGCACTTGCGCCATGTGCTCTAGATTGTTTAACTAGGGTCCAGTCAACCAATTCAATCAATTTTATTTACAAAGCCCAATAGCACAAATCACAATTGCCTCAGAGGGCTTTCCAGGAAATGACATCCCTCTGTCCTTGGACCCTCACAGCAGATAAGGGAAAACTCTCCAAAAAACCTTTTAACAAGGAAAAAAAAATGGTAGAAACCTCAGGAAGAGCAACTGAGGAGGGATCCCTCTTCCAGGAGGGACAGAGGTGCAATAGATGTCGAGTGTACCGAACAGATGAACATAATACACTTGAGTGTGTCTTAAAAAATTAATTCACTGGGGCATCGGTAGTGTAGTGGATAGTGCCGGCGCCCCATGTACAGAGGCAATGCCTCGCTGCAGCGGTCGCAGGTTCATCTCTGGTTTGCAGCCCTTTGCTGCATGTCAACCCCCACTCTCTCTCTCTCAGCCCATTTCAATCCATCCGTCCATTAAAGGCAAAAAGCAAAAAAAAAATCTAAAAAAAAAAAAAAATTCACACAACAGTGTGTATTTTGGAGTTGGAAGCAGCAATGATACACCATGCTGTACCTGAGTTACAGAGGTGTTATTGGGTATTAGGTTATTGTGTCTTACTGAGATTAACTCAAGAGAGCCTGCCTATTGCCTTTGTATCAGTGTTCATTGAAATGCCAAACATACACGTTTCCTATTGCACTGGGATTTTGCCACTTGGATATTACGTCAAATTATCTCTTTTATAGTCTCGTTTTTTTATTTTTTTATTTGATACAACATTGTTTTATTGTCTTTATGGTCTTTGTCCTTTTTTATTATAATACATGTTGGTGTGGTTGTCCCTGTTGTCTTATGTATAGTGTGCTGTTTTAAACCCTGGCTGCACAGTTACTCTGAGCTTAAAGTGCTAAATGCCTTGATGGCTGTACATCTGTTTGCTGTTTGATTGCTGCTACTTGAAGGCTGTTTATGCTTTAAATGTTAAACTGTTATTCTTACCATTTTTAAATTATTTTCACTTTTTCACTTTATGTTTTGACAGTTTGTACACAACTGCATCTTCGACTGAGACATTGGTGAAATCACTCTGACAATCTGATTGGCAGTTCAGCTCACGAGAAGAGAAATGGAAATGAGGATGTAAACAAACAGCTAAAGTCAAGGAAGTGTAAGATTGAGACAAACTTGTTCTTGTTCTTGAGCTCTTCAGCAGAAACGGTTTGTAATTTTTTTTGCTGTCATTCTGCTTAAAGGAACCTTTGCGCGGAGAACAACAAAGATGGCGATTCAGCTCAATGTCCCTTTTTTTTCTTTTTTTTTTTTTTACACTGGGTTGTGTTAATAATATGCTAACTGGCTAGCTAGCGTCATAAATCACCACTGCCCACTGTCATTAAGAATTACTTCCTCTTACGCGGGGGCACAACCCATGTCCTAGTTGGCTGTTGGCTGTTGGCTGTAGTCGTTGCAGTCTGTTCAAGTGCAACATTTTGGCTGAGACACAGGTGACGTGACGCAGCACAGCAGTCAACCTTTGCCATCCCTTCTTTGCTGTCGGTTTGGTGTGTCTGGGCCTTAAATGTTTGTGACTTGTTACCATTGTCACAACAATGAGCAAAGTGAGAATGTCTAACTCCATAAATCAGTAAACTGAATCTGAAATCACACAACATACTCTTGCTAAGAGAAGGATGTCCAGAAAGTCCAAGTTTCTTTTGGCCTGTATGTGTTCCAGCTCCTTCTCCTCCTTTAGTTCTTCTTTCCTCTTTCTTATGACCGCCTCTTCAAAAGACAAGATCAACCATACCCATAGTTTAGTGTATAATGCACACTGATCAAATTCAGTTTAACTGATAGTAGCAATAGTTTCAAATTATCATTAATCTAAGTATGTGTGAAGATCTTACCTGTATGATCATGAGCCACTCTACATGCTTTTCTGTATCTGAAACCATGTGGGCTGAGGTAGAAAATCAGGTCATTGTGGTATGGAAATGTCCTGAACCGCAGGTTAATCAAATAACTGAGCTCATAAACTGCCTTGATGTATGCATTACTTCCACTGAAATGAGAACATAGGCAAACATTAAAAACTGAGTTTCCCAGACAGCTAAAGCTTTACACAACTGAAAGCACAGTTCTGAACTTGTGAATGGCATGAAAAAGTTTGTATTGACTCACCCCTTGGTCTGACAGTTGCTGCTGTAGCTGAAAGCACACTTTAAGATGGTGTCCAGTGACATAAGGCTCACATGTTCGAACAATTCAAAGGACTCGCCAGTGTTTGCATAACTTTCCCATTTGTCCTGGCAACAGTGAGAGAACAGAAGTTACATCTCTGCAGGAGATGGAAAAACTCATTCAACTTTGACACAACATTTGTCATCTAGACGGCCTAAAGGTCTTTTTGTTCTTAACATTACTTCACCATTATGGTTTTTGATAATTCACTGTAATTGTGATTCACACGTCTAAACTGTCATATACATACCAACATCGTTTTAACAGAGTCTGCCATCAGTTTAGTGTATGGTTTCAAAACATCATAATGGAAACCTGGGGTCAAGAGCCTTCTGTTCCGAAACCACCTTTCACCCTTTGAAACCAATAAACCTTTACCTGAAGACAGACAGTATGTGTGTCAGTCAGTAAAACATCTCTGTAATAAGACAAAATATGTTGTAGGAGAAGGACAAATCAGTCTTACCAATCCAAGACTGAATAAACTTATATCCTAATTCATCTTTTGCCTCTGTAAGGAGACAAACAAATCAATAAAAATATTGTTATATTGACTTTTGGTTGTAAAATGGAGCCAATGGTCCTATAGGAGATAATGAAAAGCACTGAGTTGACCATACTGTTATAATCATAGCTCACACACCTGTTGTTGCATATATAGTCTTCACATAATCTGGATGTTGAATGTTGAGGAAACAAACAAAGGGACCACTCCACACTGGGACAGTGTAAGAGTACTGCCTTCCCCATCCCACAATCCTATCCAGAACGTTTCCATCTTTTTTGAACTGAAAAAACAATGAAAAAGGTTAACCACATATTTCATTCCTGTAACCTCGGAGAACAACTTGTTACCGACTGAACTGATGTTTACTAACCACATGTTCTTAATGTGCAAAAGTAGAGAAACAACATAAAAAAAATACTCAGTTACAACCAGTCACGTTGCAGTTACCGTTTACATTCATCGCTCCTGAGATATCATAGTGAATAATGGCCAGCCAAGTGTTTGTTCAGAACGTTTGATGTCACAGTGAAATTGACCTTTGACCGTTTGGATATAAAATGTCATCACTTCATCATTTTATCCTATTAGACATTTGTGTGAAATTTTGTCATAATTAGCGTAAGAATTCTTGACTAATGGCCAAAAACAGGTTTTGTGGGACACGGTGACTTTTGACCACCAAATTCTAATCAGTTCATTACTAAGTGTAGGTGGACGTTTGTGCCAAATTTGAAGAAATTCCCTCCAGGCATTCTTGAGATATTTGAGATATTACGTTCACAAGAATGCAATGGACGAAGTCACAGTGACCTTTTACCACTGAATTCTAATCTGTTAATCCTTGACTCAAAGTCAATGTTTGGGCCAAATTTGAAGAAATTCCCTCAAGCTTAATGTGAGATATCGCAAGAATGAGACAGACAAGGTCACAGTGACCTTGACCTTTCACCTATGACCACCAAAAACTATTTGGTTCATTGTTGAGTCCAAGTGGACATACGTGCTAGATTTGAAGAAATTCTCACAAGCCGTTCATGAGACATCGAGTTCAAGAGAATTAGATGTTGCAAAGTCACAGCAACCTTGACCTCTGACCACCAAATTCTAATCAGTTCATTCTACAGTCCAAGTGTATGTTTGTGCCAAATTTGAAGACATTAACTCCAGGCATTTTTGAGATATTGCGTTCACAAGAATGCAACGGATGAGGTCACAGTGACCGTGACCTTTGACCCACAAATTCTACTCTCTGAATGTTTTATGAACAGCCCCGGGCTTCTCAGACTCTTATAGCGAGTTACCGCAAGTTACCCATCCTACAGGGGGAACTCATTTAGTGACTTCGCTGGCCACAGCACAGCGTTTCTCCCATTCCTTTCTCACCGTGCACGCACAGGTGTCGGTGCCTCAAGTGATTAAACCTTTGGTAATTAAAATCTATGTGATGCTCACAGCTTTACAAAAAAATACATATATGTGAATGTGCAATAGTTTTGGTAACATAATGTCCAGTCACAGGTTACAGCCTGATGATTAGAGGAGAAATGGCAGAGCATAAAGGTCCAGGTGAAAAAAAAAAAACACAATCATTTAGGATTTTGCTAAAAGAAGGAAATCACCTGTTGATTTATACACAGTATATAGATGCCAGGGTACATTTTATTGTACTTTATTGTTGTATTATGTATTTGGGAGCTGTTTACATGTGTAATTTGTGGTAGATTTTGTTTGATTTTTCTACTACTATTGTATACACAATCTGAATGTCACTCTGAGTCACTGTTGTTGTTTACAAACGAAAGAAATGAGAGATAATTTTTGTTTATTTTTTACCGAATATTTAAAGGTGAACTGTTAAAAAAAAAAAAATCTTTTTTACTAATTTGTCATATCGTCAAGAATTTTGTTATCACAAAAATACCCTTAAATATTGTGATATTATTTTAGGGCCATATCACCCATCCCTAATTGAAAGTTATTTTGTGTCAAAACAAAAATGTCCCAACCGACCCCGCTCTCCCTAGGCTACTGAATGGAGTATTGTGAGGCACAGTGAATTAAAAAAATGTGCAATACTGCCAATGATTAGAATGGTATTGGTTATTTTAACCCCTGTCCATTGATGAATCCTGTATACTCTGAGGAAAAACAGTGAAATACTTCATAGATCTGACATTAAGTGTGATGAAATATCTTCTATTACTGTAAAACACTTTGTAATTCTGTTTTGAAAAGTGCAATAAAAATGAAAATATCATCATTGTTATATCAGTTACAGAAAGTTGCACTACTGAGCGCTCGTGACTGAATTACCTCTTTAGCATGTCCAAAAAGCCAGTGTGCTGGTGGTCCTGGAAAAGCTTTGAAGTTGTGGCGCATATCTCTTCTTTGGAGGTACAAGACTGTAACTTTAAAGGCAATGGTAACAAGACAAAGTAGAGCAAACAAGTAATGCATATGAGGCCAGCCCAGCTGATTCCACAAAGCCTTAGCTGACTCCATCTCAGGTGAGTCTGTGCGTCATTGGAGGAAAAACTCTGAACACAACTGAAGGTGACTACAGGCTTGTTGGATATTAACTGTACCTCATCTGAGCAGTGGACGGGATCAGGGGGTGGTGACAAAAACACACAGTCACATCAGATAGCTTCCAGCTGCCTTCAGTGTCTGGTCACAGAAACACTCACATCCTGTTAGATGTGATTCCCATTTATTAAAATGTGATCAGACCCATGTATCAGTTTGTTCCAGGTTTTGTTTTAATTATGACAGAGTAGCCTACTCAAATCCTGTTCATGTTTCAAACTCCATTTTACATGAACTCTCATGGTACATTGCCGTAGGCTCGCTGCGAACAACACTTGACTCTGTAGCTCCTCTTAAAAAGAAGTTAAAAAAGCAAAGAAAGTTCGCTCCTTGGTATAACTCTCAAACCCGTAAGTTAAAACAAATATCACGAAAATCTGAAAGGAATTGGCGATTAACCAAACTGGAAGAATCTCGTTTAATCTGGACAGACAGTCTCAAAACTTATAAGAGGGGCCTCCGCAATGCCAGAGCAAACTATTACTCAGCATTAATAGAAGACAATAAGAACAACCCCAGGTTTCTTTTCAGCACTGTCGCCAGGCTGACTGAGAGTCAGAGCTCTATTGAGCCTTGTATTCCTTTAGCCATTAGCAGTAATGATTTTATGAGCTTTTTTAACGACAAAATTCTAACTATTAGAGGCAAAATTCATGACCTCCTGTCCTCAGATAGTACCTATCTAACCTCAAACACAGCTGTAAAACCTAATATATATTTAGATTGCTTCTCCCCAATTTCTCTTCAAGAATTGAC